ATTGCATAATATCTTGGTGTAGAATTTGAATCTTACTATTAAATTCTTTGATAGGCATAAGAATAATACTTCTATGAGTCATTTTGGAAACAAGTAAGATTTCAATCTTAAGAATGTTGACAAGTTCGTTAAGATCTACAATGGTTGCAAAAATATTCTTACTTTTTTAAAAAATATCATCCATAATTTTTTCTTCAATAAACAACTCAAATGGACTCACAAGTAAAATTAGAGAATGATAATTTTCTACCTCTAATATCAAATGAAAATTTCTATAAGAAAGAATAGTCGACTTTTAAAAAAATAATAATAAGTATGAAAAAACGAAATTTTATTTTAAAGGTGGATAGTCCACAATCTTAAAAACACAATAACAAAAGTAAAGTAATCCACTCACTTCTAAAAAAAAAATAAGAAAAATTAATTAGCACTTTTATCAAACTATCAAGGACATGAATTGTAGAGGATTAAAAGACCAATACATTCTTATTTCATTTAAAAAGACTAAAAAATCACTTAAAGATGGTATTATATTAAATTAAAATACTTATTGTCTAAAACAAAAAAATTAGAAAGTCTTGAAATAAGACTAAAGACAAGAAAGGCATTCACAAGAATAAAAAAGACTTCACTCTTGCTTCCACATATACCATTTAAACAAAAGCTACATTGCAATGATCTATAGGATTTCTAATATATATCCAACTTGTGAGATACATGTCTTAACTTACAAGGCAAGTTTTTATATGTATGCCACATAATTATTTTGTACCACAAGCTACCAATACATTGTCTTTCAACATTAATTCTTACTTAAAAATGCATTTGGCAACTAGCTATAGAAGGTAAATTGAAAATGCAATAATAAGATCCTACTAAGTCTAATAGAATCTTAAATAAAATTTAAGAAATCTTTAAAATTTCTAATCAAATTTTAATCAATTCAAATATAATTTAAAAGAAATTTAAAAAGAAACATAAAGAAGTCACAATTTTTTTTAATAATTAAATCTTAAAGAATTACAAAATAAAAACTTTAAAGATATAATAAATATAAAAATCTTTAAATAAATAATAATAATTTTTTAAATACTAAAAATAGAAATTTTAAATAAATCTTAAATAAATCTTAACAAAATCCTAATCAAATCTTAGATCAAATCTTAATCAAATTCTAATCAAATTCTAATCAAATTCTAACCAAATCTTAGACTAAATCCTAATCAATTTCTAATCAAATTTTAGGCAAATCCTAACCAAGTTTTAAATCAAATTCCAATCAAAATATAGCCAAATCTTAATTAAATCCTATATCTTAACAAAATTTTAATTAAAGCTTAAATCCTAATTAAATCCTAATTAAATCCTAAATAAATTCCAAAAAAATCTTAAATAAATTAATCAATTATTATAGCTATTTTAAAATCTCACTAAATATTAATTGAATTATTTATCTTAATTAATATTTTATTCACATCTCAATGCATAAGCAATTAATATGCACAAAAGTTTTGAGAAAAATCGACTCATCAATTCAAAAGAAAAAACTCCTAAACATCTCAGATTCCTTTTCTATCCTAGATGTTGATATTCTAAAAGTAATTTTTCTTTACTAAGCCATTAAATTTCTTCAAAAATCAGCTAGCATGTAAAATTCTATGTCTTTATATTTTTCACCAATTTTTGCTTCAATCGAACTTGCAAATGTTGTAAGATTGTAAAAATCCTCACTAATCTTAAATTTTAATTATTTAAGACTATAATCTACAAAAACTCTCATAAATATCAATCCAACTATTAGATTAATATCAAATTTTACAAACGTATTTAAGATAAATATAGTGATATTTTAACAAAATTAGAGCTATGAATATATTACAACACTTACAAAACCTTCAAAATTATAATCTTTTTTTTGTTGTTCAAAATCCAAATCTATGGAATATATTTCTTACTTTAAAAAGCCCTCAAAACCTTGATATTCCTTCAAATTGAATAAAATCAATTCTTTAAATCCTCTCATAAGTTTGCTTTTAAACTCTACTCTTTGATCAATTAGAAAATCTTAGAATCACCACAGATGAACAATTTTGTGCCCTAGGATTTGATTTTGATCTTGGTTCACAACCACTCTTCTTTGAATATCATTTTTTTGGTGTTTTGAAGTAATTTTAATTAAAACCTATTCTTAACTTTCTCTTATAAATGCTTATATTAATTATCTATCTCATTTATTTTTATTTGGTTCATTAATGCACCTATAAAGTTAATAGAAGACTTTTTTATTAGGAGATAGTATAGCAATAATTAATTTTTATTACTTCTTTGTCTGTTATCTATATTTTTAAGATAAATTTCTAAAATATTTTAATTTTAGCCCATCTATAATAAAATATTTTCTTTCAACTTTCACCTAATGGCTATATTATTACACAACAATATTCAATACATAGCTAATTTATTGGCCAAGTTTTTAAACTATCAATCAATTACAAATATGTGTATAATCAATGCTATATCTATGAAACTTTTAGAAAGCTTTTCTACAAGATATTATCAAATTTATCTACTTTAATCTACTTCTACCTATTCATATTATCTATATAATTATTGGAATAAATATATATATATATATATATATATATATATGTTTTTGATAAATTATTTTATATAAATAAAACAAAATAAAATAAAATAATTATTATATATATATTTTTTTTACATAAAATGATGTTTAGTTATTTTATAAGGCTAAAAATATAAAAATGTATTATAGAATAGATATAAAATCAATAAAACTACCTTTAGATTAAAATTGAGAATAGTATTTTGAATAAATTATCATTATAAATATTAAATTAATACTCAAGAAAGACTATTTATGAAAGAAGATCAAAATTAGAGCCTAAGATACAAAAAAAAATGATCTTTTGCAAATAAAAAGTGAAATTTGAAAGGAGACTAGAAGAGGGTTTTAGAAGTATCAAGTATGTTGAAGTTGGTTTTGGTTTAATTTTGTTAGAGCTAATCAAAATTTTAATTTTTGATATTTTAATATCATTTTAAATAATAAAATCAAGGTCTATAATATCAGCTATATTTTAAATTTTAAGCTAAATCTATAATTATTTTTTGAGAACCAATAGATTTAATTATATATATTGAGTATCATATATTTTGTATATAATTGGTATATATTTTTAGTATCATATATTACTATAAATTGGTATATTTTTTAGTTAATTAATATAATTAACTACATTAAATAATTATTATTCTTTATTACCTAAGATAGAAATATGAGATTTTGCACTAAAACTTTGACATAAAAATTGAAAAAAGAAATTGTTCAACATCTATATGGTTCTCAAATCATTTTTGTCAATTTGTAAGTTAGATCATTTTTTGTTTTTATAAAGTTATTTTGAACTATTATCCAAGTAATATAAAAAATCTAAAGAAAAATCAATACAAAATTAAAAGTTATAGCTAGCTAAATTTAATACTTAAAATTTAGATTTTATATAATTTATTTAAAATTTTTTTAAAGTTTTCTTAGAATTTGATAAGGTTCTTATATGATTTTTGAAGGGTTTTCTTAGGGCTTTATTATAATTTTCTTAAGTTTTCTTTTAAGATTTGGTTTGTGATTTTATTAATGAAATTTTAGATTTTAGATTTTAGAATTTTGTTAGAATTGTTTTTAGATTGTTTAGAATTGTTTGTGTTTGATGGGATTTAGCATTTGCTGAATTTAGGAATTCTAAGAAAGATCAAGATTTTCAGGATGAATGATTCTAAGACCTCCTTGAAGGGAACCAAGGGAACAAAGAGAACTGTAGTTTTACCAAAGAAGTCAACTCCATTGACAAATGGAAACAGCCTCATTGACTTAGTTGTCAAAGTCAACGACAAAATGCATGTACTTGGTTCCACCAATAGGATGTTGAGAGGTGTCGATGACCAAGAGGCGAGCGCCTGTTCAACGTGGCAATTCTCCAATGGGAAGGGCATTGGTGGGACCCTTATATGCTTATCTGGCAGATTTGGTCATACGTGGCATTCTTGAACCAGATGGAAGTATTGTACACAACCGTGAAAATTGTTGGAAAAGTAAAATCTTGTCTTTTAACCCCCCACCTTCTTCTTTTTTTTTCTCATTCCCTCTCCCTTTCATCATTTCTGATTTTAACACAATTACAGATTAAAAATTTATAGAGGAAAAAAAATAGATGTAAGTAACATAAATACCACATGCTTCTGTATTAGATTAAAAGCAGTTCTGAATGTGGTTAAAATGATGTATTTGTCAACTCTGTGTAATTATTTTGAAACTTTTGTGATGGAGGGTTTGGTTTTTAAATTATTTGAATTAATGTAAAATAGTTTTAAGGACACGAGTGTATATTGTGTCTGCTTTTCATAGAATAATGAAAGGATATAGAGGTTTATCCAGGAGTGATTGTTAAAAAATGATCAATAGCTGATTTTAAAAACTTATCATGATTTCAATATGCATAATTTTAATTATATTCGATTTCATTCTAATTTTGAATGTGCTTTCCTAAAGCATCTTTATATACATATTTTAATCAATACATTTATTTTCATCTTAAATAAAATTAAAAAATTAAAAAATTAATTCAATTTAATAGATAGAACAACCTGAAATGATACAGTATATTTGAACTAATTTGGATGTAGTTCTCAAACATACATGAATTTTGTATTTCTAAATAATTTGGTTTGCGTACACCAAATCACTGAAATTGTTAGAAGAAAACTTCAGAAACAAGCAGGCTTCTTCAAATCACTCTGGAATGGCATGCAATGGGCCTTGCATGAGCCCTAAAGAAGTAATCAACCAACAAATAACCCTATTCACACAGACATCCGTGCCCTTCTCTGCTTCGATTTCTCCACGTCATCAATCTCGAGTCCGCATATGGACGTGGGGCCCCTCAATGGGTGTAACCCATCCATGTCGTCTGATAACTCGGAGGGTTGCTGTGGTGGCCGCGCCAAGTGGGCGAGGCCTCGCCGCAGCGCATCGTGGAGGTCGCATCGCTAGGCTTTCAGTGTTGCAGGGCACCGATCGAGGAAACGATCCGGGACCCGAACTTTCACGAATCTCACTAGATAGAAGTTCTCGCACCAGACGCGCTGCGGAGAGCTCAGATTTTCTCGCGAGAGCCTCGTGATCTCAGTCGCTGTCATTTCAAATGGATGCGAGGTTGACTGGAGCGCGGGGCAGAGGGTTGCTTCATCTCTGGCAGGATCATGGCAGGTAACAGAGCTGGTATCACATGGCGAGATGTCGCGTGAGGGTGATGAGAATGGCGAATTTCTGCCGTGCTGGCGAATTCTTCGTGTTGTGTTGTAAATTTTTTTTTAGGTGATGTTAACATTCGTGGTTCAGTATTGCGAATGTACGTTGTGGTTTTTAAGATTTGGGAGACAAGGGAGCTGTGAGTTTTTTTGTTTGTTTGTTTGTAATGTTTCACTCCGTCTCTGGAAGAAATTGGAGTGGCTTCTTAGTTATGGAAGCCGTTCTTTTCAATAATGGTTATTGCGGACTGTTTTGATGATTTCATCATTGATAAATTTTATTGTGCGATGATCTTCTTGGCGGATTAGATGATTTCCAGTTTTTTTTTTGATCGAGTGAGTATTAGTGTGCAGAGAGTTTTAATTTGAGATAATGTGCAAATTTTCCATTGCAATAAGGAAGATGGAATTGAGAAAATGCGGTTGCAAGTGCGCGGTGACTGTTATGGTGTGGTCGGATTTTTATTTGAATCAAGGCTGCCAATAGTGAATTGAACAATGGTTTACTCTACCGCTCAGAGGTTTTGGAGAAAACTAGAAATGTTATGGGCGAAATTGGTGCCAGGGATGTTTAAGTGAGGTATTTAAGATTTCGTAATTTATCATTAGGACATGATTTAGCGAGGACTTAGAAGTGTGTAAGGATTCGTGATTGCTCTGATGTTGAATTCATTCAAGTGCGGAATCATTTTAGCAATGCGTTAGTGTCGTTACTTGACCTGGATGCACCTTGAAACCTCAGGTTAAACAGACCGAAACAGAGTGCCGATCCTCCCTTAGTGTTTGTTGTCTTCTTTAAATGGTCGTGAGTAACCTGTCTTGTGTTTTGCTAAGATTGTGAATTCGAGCTGTTAGTCGATGGAAATGCGTACTTCCATCTCTTTTGAATGGAATTTTCTACATGAATCTCCTTAATTATTCCCTTTAGGCATTCTACAGCACGGAAATGGACTATTTCGTTGTGAAACTGAATTATTGCAAAATCAAGATTGGTGTTGGAAAGGTCTCTTCACACAAAATGAACACAAAATCACTCACATTCGCTCGATTGCGTTCAATCACAGAATTTATGTCTGCTGACACGCATACTCCATTACAGGATTTTGACAGCTTTTGGTTTCAGTTTCACTAAATATGTGGGTGCAAGTGTTGTGGCACCTTTGTAATAGGTTTTGCCAAGATATTAATGCTTTCAATTCGTCCTATAACACATTTAAGCTTTATAACTATCAGCAAGCCGTTGTATACTTCGCCAGTAGCAGTACAATCCGATACTTTCGATTCCATTTCTTCAATTTGTTAGTTTGTTCTTTTTACAAATTCATAGCAGGTTCGCGTATCCCAGCTCCTTGCTACGTGCCTTCCATTCACATTTCGAATGAACCCTGAGGAGCATTTTCTGACACCGATAAGACATGAGAATTGATTTGTGAATTTTTTGATAGTGACTGTTAGTGCTAGATATAGTCATGGCACGGACGAAAGCTCATGTAAATGTGCGTCAGCTAATATTGTTAGGGTGTTTCCCGTAAGTTCTGAACGTTTCAAGCGTTTATACTTGGTTTTGATTTTTGCAATAGAAACAGAACGAGCCCGTTAGTATGGATATGCCTACAGTTGCCCGCGAGTTCCTCCGAATTGGCCAGTGGTGCAGCCTCAGTGGCATTGGCTGAGGATGAGAGCAAGCTGGGCGGATTCCCTACTCTAGAAGTAATGGCGTTTTCTTTTCCGTCGCAACATAAGATTTCAATGTAATTTGCGACTAAAATTCTAGTTTTAAAGTTTGGAAGCTTGATTGCAGCATAGTTTGTTTATTTGGACCCAAATTTGTTTCATCTTCTTAATTTTGCCACTACCTGTTGCACCATCTTTACAACGAGCTGCTGAGTTGTTTTATACAAATTTCTCGTTGATGTATGAGACCTCATTTTGTCAATGTACAGTGTTAAGTTACCAGGACCATCTTATACGTTACACTTCCCTTCGCTGTTTCTTTAATTCTTCTCTGAAACGTATGCTAGTTCCCTTCAGTTCGTTATCACTTCTTGGGAATGTACTTTTGACAACAATGATCTGGTAATATATCATTCCCACCTCAGGCCTCTCTTTTTCAAAACACTGTGGTTAGCCATCCCACTGATGTTTAATTTCTGGGAGGATTGCTAGAATAGGGTTAGTTTAATTCGGTCTGAGTTAGCTAGTCGAGTACTTTGATCCTGAAAATTTCGCTGAAGTATTAGGAAGTTGACGCTGAAATGAACTTAGCGCTAATCCCAAATCTTAGTTCGGAGAGAAGAGAAATTGAAGGTAAGCTGGTTGACGTCGTTCGAGGGTGTGTTGTTTCTACATATTAACGTGAGTAAAAAGTTAGCTGTATCTGTTGATTACTTTTGGTCTTTCTGCTCAATGCCTTGTACGTATTTTTTTGGAGTCTCCGTCGACAACTATTTTCAAACGTAATTTTTCTTTGTGTGGGATGTGCTTGATGGATAGATCTCATATTTGCGTGTGTCACCTGTTACGGAGAGAGAAGTTGGATTTTCCATTACACGGAGACAGTGGAAGTTTCACGCCGCGGATGTATAGGTGATGTGCTGCTATGTCGGAGTCCAATCATATTTGTACTTGGATGCGAAATGTTAAGAGGTGGGTTCAAGGTTTGACTCTTAAAGCTGCGAATGACTTTGGTGGCGAAAGGTGCCTGAAGACAATTATTTTTTGAGATTTTTAGAAGAAATGGCCGACATGGCGCGCTCAAGCATAGATAGTATGTGGAAATACAGTTATGAAGGAAGCAAACATATATGTACATTGGCTAAGAAGGTTATTACTTTCATGTTTCAATCATGGACACGTGGTTTTTTATGTCTACTTTTACTCGGATCACTCCCTTTTCTAGCTCCTGTGATCTTGGTAACCATGATGGTTGGTGGCGCTTTCGTGGTTCCTTTGCTATGTGCTGTCACTGCTTATTATGTTCTCTTCCGCCGCTTCCCACTGCCAATCATCATGAAACGGTTTTCTTCTCCCAAGCCTCATCTCAGAATGGAAGATTTGGATACCTATGCCGAAGAATACAGGAATCGCGGGGCTTCGATTGGGACGCCTTACCTTGATTATGAGGGTACTTGTGAGGAAACATTGGATAGTGACTCTGAAGTTGAAATCGTTGAGGAGGATCCAGCTTCAGAGGCTGACGCGGCCATTGCTAAGCCTGACATGACCAAGGAGGCAGAAGCTCGGCCAGCTGAACCGGAGGTTTTTGTTGACGGAGCAACGCCAACTGTGCAGGAGAAGGAAGTGCTACCTTTGGTCGTATCAGAAACCTTATGGGAAAACGAACAAATCCAAGGAGTTGCAGAAGAGATTGAGTCTAAGGTCGACCCTAGATTGGAATCTGCAGAGCCATTCATGAAGCAACAAACTCTGGCGGTGAGATCTGAACCGGTGGAGCCGGCTTCCTCTGTTGGGGACGTTATACCCAATGCAGGGACTGTAGCTGTACAAGAAGTTGCCTCCAATGAGAATGTTACCCCATTGGAAGAGGTAAATCCTGAGAAAACTGAGATGCTAGAAGTCCCAGAGTTGGACGAGAAAGTTATTGAAGTCTTCGTTGAGGAAACGACTAGTTCAGAGATTGATGCATCCATTGCTGAGCTCGACGTGATTAAGGAGGTCGTAACTAAACCTGAGGAGGCCTCAATTGTGTTGGAGAAGGATGTCGAATTTCCCTTAATAATGTCAGCACCTGCGTTGATAGAGAAGGAAGATCCAGAAGTTGTGAAAGAGCTTGAGGCTGTCGCTGTACTTACAATGGAGTCTGAAGACCAACTGATGGATGAACAGCCTTTTTCAGTGAAATCTGCGCCTAAGGAGTTGGTATCCTCCGTTGAGGATGTTCCAGCTATTTCATTGATAGCCCGTATGCAGGAGTTTGTCACCCCAGTGGAAGAGTCTGATATAGAGAAGGTTGAGGTGCCAGAAGCCCTGATGATGCAAGTGAAGGAGGTTGAAGCTTCCGTTCAGGAGGCTAGGTCTTTAGAGACTGACTCTCTCATTGCTAAGTCTGAAGTGACTACGGAAGAAGAGGATAGACATACAGAGGTCCCAGTTGTAGTCGAGAAAGAAGTTCTGCCATTGACAGTACCAGATTCCGAATCGGAAGTAAAGGAAGCCCCAGCAGTTGGTAGAGAGACACCTGCTGAGGGAGACCCTGGAATGGAATCCGCAATACAATCTATGATACCACATCAATCTCTGTTGGTGGAGTCTGAACCAGTGGAGCTGGCTTCCTCCGCCGAAGATGTTCCAGCTATAACAGAAATCGCCCCTGTGCATGACGTTGTCCCCGCTGAGGTTGCTATAGAAGAGTCTGACAAGTCTCAGATGATTGAGGCGTCAGTGATGGAAAAGGAACCCGAAGCCCCCGTTCAAGATGCTGGGACTCCAGAGAATGATGCACTCATTGCTGAGCCCGACGTGACGAAGGAGTTCGAGAGTAAATTTGAACCTTCGTCTGATGTACTAATATCCATAGTGGGAAAGGCAGATACACCAGTGGTTCAGAAAGAAGCTGTTGGTGCCTCTTCGTTGGAGTTCGAAGTTTCAAGTTTTGAACAGCAATCTTCCCCAGTAGATGATGAATATGTGGAGTTGCTCTCCCCTGTTTTGAGTGTTCCTGCCATTGCAGAGACCGCTGCAGTGAAGGATGATATCCCAAGTGAGGCTGGGTCCTCAGTGGAGGAATTTGATTTGAAAGGGGTTGATATAGGAGGACCCTTAGTGACTGAAGTGAAGGATGTTAAGGGTGCTCCAATGGAGGAGCCGTTGCCTGAGCAGGTTGAGAAGCCAGAGGCTCCAGTGATGGAAGAGGAAGTTAAGTCTGTCGCTGAGACTGGTGCTATGGAGATGGAGCTTATCAAAGAGGCAGAGGCTGGGCTAGCTGCACCTGAGTTTTTTGTCAAGAGGAAGGTCCCAGCTGTACAAGATAATACTGAATTTCCGTCGGATTTACCAGAACCCTTATTGGAAGAGAAGGAAGCTCTAGTGGTAGCTGCAGAGAATGATACTGAGACTGACACATACATGAAACAAAAAACTTCACTGGTGGATTCTGAGCCTGTGGTGTTGTCCTCTCCTTTCGCAGGTGTTCCTACCATTGCAGAGGCTGCTGTAGACGAGGAGGTCTCTCCAATCGAGGTCGTTGATCTCTTTGGAGATTCTAATGTTGGAAAGGTTGAGGTGCCTGATGTTCTAATGGTGGAAGAGGAGGTTGAGGCTCCTGCTGAGGAGGCCGGATCTTCGAAGACTTACTCACTTATTGAGTCCGATTTGTCTAAAGAGGGAAGGGCTGGACCTGCAGCACCTGAAGTTTTTGGTGAGGAGGAGGTCCCAGTTGTGCAAGAAAAGGTCGATGATCTTCCCTCAGCTGTGGTCGCACCTGCATCTGAAGGAAAGGGATATCTTGGAGTTATGGGAGAGACTGAGGCTGTGGATATCTCTACATTGGACTTCGATAGGCCAAGGTTTGAACTTGTTGAGGATTTTCCAGCTATAGTAGATAATACCCCTGAACAGAAGGTTGCTTTGGGTTCCGAGCTACTGGAGGAAAGTTCTTATGATGATCGAACGACTAGTGAGGACTCAACAGCTTCAAGTGAACCAATAGGTTTATCGAGTACGGAAGCAACTGAAGAGAGAAAGGATGAAGGTCATCCTGCTAAATATTTGAAAGCACAGGGCAAGGAAAAGGACTTGGAGGAGATCAATGTAGACTTGGGTAAACTCGACGAAGTTCAGTCTGGTGTTGATCATCCGGTGCTTGTTGCTGGACAACAAAATTTAGAGCCTGATGAACCGAGGGAATGGACGACTGAATTTCAGTCTAGCTCTGAGAACTTGGTAGATTCTGGGGGATTAGAGCACTCTGTTGAGAACAAGGTAGCTGCGAAGACAAAAGGTCATCTTGTTGACCAGACAACAGTTCCAAGTAAAGAGCAGGAGCATTTTACTGTAAATAAAACAGCAAACGAGGAACCTTGTCAGGCTTTGGCTCCTACTCAGTCTTCACTCTCTGACGAAAAGTTCGGGAATCTAGAACACGGGTTGCCATCGAAACAAGCGGTTCAGCAAGTTAATGAGATTAATGTAATTGAAGAAGACTTCGACGTTCACGAATCTGCCTCAGAAGTGTTCGCTCGATCTGAAAATGAGCAAGAAGAGAAGGAAGCAGAATCGCATGTGTCTGCTCTCGAAGTGGTGGAAATACTAAATCCAGTGGCTGAAGAGGTGTTGATCGTTGTGCCTAAAGTGATGAAAGACTCACCTAAGATCATGAAAAAGGAGGTCCAATTTTTTGAGGAAAATGAGGTTGAACTCCCGTCACCTACATCGGTGGAAGAGGTGGATTCACAAGTTGTTCACGAAAAAGCTGGTGCTCTTTCATTGGAGTCCTGTGTCCCTACGTTGAAGCAACAGTTTTTTTCCAAGGATTCCGATACTGTGATGTTGGCCAGTTCTGTTGCGGATGTCTCCATCATGGTAGACGCTGCTGTTGTCCAGTCTGCTTCCACTGAGAAGGCTCAGGAGCAAGATATCCCCATTACTGAAGCTGTAGCTTCAACCCTTGAGCTACCCCTTATTGGGTCCAAGTTGACCATGGGAGTAGATGCTGATCACCATGCTGCGTCAGTGGTTGTTGCTGCAGAAGAGGCCCCACTTATACAGGAGAAGGGAGCACCGATTGCTGCTGAAGGTATTGAGGTTGCCCCTGCTCTGAAGGCCAAGGCTACTGATGCTGGGGAGAAGACTAAATTGGTGGAGGAGCCTGTTCACGTTGGGGGTAACGAAGCTGATAAGGTTGAAGAGTCTGAGACCCTACCAGTGGAGGGGCACGAGACGAAGCCACAAGTGGCTGCATCGAAGTGTGAGGAAGTCCTCAATGAAGATTGTGAAGCTCCAGAATCTGAGGTGCTTACCTACGATTGTGTGACGGCCCCAGAAGCAGAGGATGTTTCAGTTGTGCTGGAGAAGGCTGGGTTTCCCTTGGTTGAATTGGAACTCCGATCGGAAGAAAAGGAAATGACAATATCTGAGGAGAATCCAGCTCCTGGTGAATTAGAGCACAGAGGACTGTTGGGTGCGGAGAAATCTCAAATTGTTCAGGAGGTGCAAGAGAAGGACGCCCATGTGGAGAGAACTCAGCCCATTGATGAAGGTGTCGAGGGAGCTGAGAAGAAGAATGAGGCTGTTGAAGGTCCCGAACAAGATTTCCCAACTTTGAGATCATTGAACGTAGCACATGATGAAGAGTCTTCGCGTGATGAAAAATTCCAGGAAAGTGTTGACTTTTTGAGTGCCGCTCGAGCTCAGAGACGCCTAAGCTTCGAGAATGAGGAAATTGAATTCGGAGCACCATTATCACCACACAGAAGGAGAGGCTTTGAAGCAACGGATATTCTCTTTAGGTCACGCTTAGGGAGGGGTCATCCGACTCACCGACACTCTGCACCTGATTGTTTAGGAACTTATACTTGGGTGCAAGAGTTGCCACCCTCCTCACATCAAGAGAAGCACCGGATTCACAAGAAAATGAAATACAAACGATGGTCTGAGAGTAGTGAAGGCGGTGACGGAAAGAAGAGCTCAGCGAAGCCTGGCCGATCATACTCAACTTCTGTTGCAGATAGTGGTGAACCCTGCATGGGTGAGTTTGAGGGCCTTTTAAAGTCATGGAAGGAAAGAGATAAAACAACTTTGCATACTTCAGTGGCCTCCTCAGCAAGGTTCTCACCGATTGCAGCTTCATCCGCTGATATTGTTCGTCAGATTCGTGAGGAGATCATCACCATTCAAAGGATAATTGGGCAAGAAATTCCACCGCAATGCTCTTTGTGGAAGGAAGTGGAAATTCTCACTCAGATCGTAGGTATGGAGCTTCCTTACATGGGCGATGTTCCTGATTTAACTAAAGCAAGGCAAGGACTGGATCTTCTGAAAGTTGTTGTTGGCATCACATGCACGTAGGACCGGGGTCAGGAAGATGATATGAAGCTTAACAATAGCGTCTAATGTTGGATTGTAATAGATATACACTCTTAGAAGTGTTACAGGGGTGATTAACGATATGTTGCTTATGATCATTGGTAAATTCAGATTGTATTTTATATCCAGGACAGCTAGCTTCTTAGTATAGATAGCTATCTTAAGCAGATGTTTCTTAATTAATGCTGCTGGCATAGATGCCCGGTATCAACGCGTCTGTGATCGATTCTGTGCATAAGTTGTAAAGGTAAATTTTTTCAATTTTCTTGTGTTGCATTATTAATAGCTCAGCGGCTAGCACGGCTGACATTTCTGTACCGTATCCAGCTGTCATTTCTGCAAAGAATGACAATTCATTCTTGTGATATAGTTTGAGTGCCAATCTATGTATTAAGGGCTGCAAACTAAAAGAACAGATTAAAGGATTTTCATTTGAAAAAGCTACAGCCATATGTAAATTGGCATGTGTAATTTCCATGAAGAAAGAATATATGTGGCAAGGATATAAAATCATTCTTGAAGGTAGGGAGCTAGAGTGTTGAGTAGAGTTGTATTACTAGTTGCCCATCTATTTTTTTTGCATGGCTAAAGTAATTATATTTGACTTTGTCTTATTTTGCCAAGCTCTCTTTTTGATTTAATCCCCAATTTAGAACATTATACTACCAAAAATTCAAATTGTTTAATGCAAGGATTCTTAATAAAGATCAAAATTACAAAATTGGTAACAAAAGAATAAAATACAAATGGGAAGGGGGCCAATTTGTGTACTACTATTATACCATCTGCATGTGGATATTGGTTACTTTTGAATCAACAACAATCTTGCATCAAAGAAAGACATTCAAGAGGAACATTGTTGTATTATGTGAAAATCAACCTACAAATGCATTGGATATCTGGTTTGTAAAAGGGTTTCATCTTACCTTGAAGTTGGATTTACAATCCAAAAATAATATATAAATTAATTTAAAACATCTTTATGGTAATCTTAAACAACCTAAGTAAACTTCTAAATATACAAAATATACCTTATCAACTTTAAAAAAATAATAAAAGTATTTTATTATACTCTAATAAATTTCAAATGAACCTTAAAACATATTTAACAGCCATAATTATATCCCAAAGAAATTCCAACCAACTTAAAGTAATGCTAAATAAACTTTGAAGAAATACTAATTAATCCTAAAGAAATCATAGAAAAATCATAAAAAAAACCTTAAAAAAATTCTAACCATAGTCTAACTAGCTCTAAAGAAATTCTAAGTAAACTCTAATTAAATCTTAATTAGATTTTAATCAAATTTTTACCAAAACTTTAAAAAATTCTAATAAATATTAATCAAAATTGTAAAGAAGTCTTAAATAAATCCTAACAAATTCTAACCAAATCCTACATAAACTTTACAAAAATTTAAAACCTCAAAAATTATTAAATTTATTATTAATCTCAATTTAAAATTTTCTTACTTCTCAATCTACTAGTTGACAATAACCACACAAAATTTGAAGAGAGTAAAACTAATAGTTTAGTATAATAAAAAGCTCCTAATCTGCTTGAGTGTTGATTGGTGTCGTGCCTAAATTCTTTCAAGAAGATTCCTAGATATGCTTAGGTTAGAAGATTTTCTATCTCTAGAACTTTCTATAAGACCTTTTTCATAGCTAATACAAACAGATACAAGATTGATTCAATCTTCAATCTTGTCAATATGTTTCTTGTATTTTAGTCTTGGGCTAAGACTCTCTAGTCTCTTTGTATTTGGCAATAGCCATTTTAATTCTTTTCTATGTCATAATTATGTTTTTTTATATTTGGTATTAGAGATTGCAAACTATCTTCCTCTAATTTGACTTGTATGATTTTTATTATTGTCTATTATTTAGGTAAAAAGACAAAAAACTCTAAAGACTTTATTTGGTAAAAGTGAGAAAATATTTTGCAACTATTTTAGATCTATTCATGTTTTTTTAATATTTTTTAAAGCAAAAATATCACACATTAGCAATGTTAATAATGGAAGAATAATTGCTATGCCCTTAGAATAAGTTAATAATGAGATCTAATGTTTATATCAAGAAATTATGTAATCAAAAGAAATAAGTTCAAACACATGAATTTTACATGTAGCTTCTAAATTCTTGCTACTATAATTACAAAGGATGTAAAGATCACTATACTTGAAAAGTTAAATGAAATAAGATTAAAATTTTAAGGATTATTACAATCAAGTAATTTTTTTTATATAAATCTCTATTTAGATTTTTTTATGTTTTATGTTATAATAGAAAAATAAATTTATATTTATATATACTAAAATTAATTTTAAAAATATTTTTTACTATATTTGTATAAACAAAATTCTAGTCTTTGCAATAATAGTCATATTTTTTTGTTATTTATGCTACAAAATTTTAACTTGCTTATTATCTAGATTAGAACAATAAGTCTTTTATAATTTACTTTTGATATAGCTTAGAAGATAATATCAAATATTTATTGTTGAAAATATCAATTTTTATTTATTACAATAATTTATTACTCAAGCAATTGCATGGTACAATCAATTCTATAAAAGACATTAAGAACAAAATTATGGTTAGAGAAGAAAAAACAAAGTAATCACAATAACTTTAAAGTCTTCAAATATTTATATATCAAGGAAAAACCTATGCAATTGATACAATTTAATTTAAACAATTAATATAAAAAAAATTATAAATAATAATATAAAAATTAGTTTTTTTATTATAGAAAAGAAAATCAAAAGATACAATGATGTTGCTTCAAATCAAGTAGATTCAAGGCAAAGAACAAAAACTCATATATAAATAATAATAACAAAAAAAGAGATCATAGAGACCTTATAAATGGAAAATTCTAAACCATATCTATCAAATACAAATACCATGCTTCTATCAAATCTTAGATCTTGTTTTTAACTTCTCATATTTTTTAAAACTTCAAATCATTAATTTTCAACTCAAGACCTTTTAAAAATTATAATTTCAATGTATTTTATATACAAAGACTTTGAATTGCAACAAATATTAATACTCTTAAAGAAAATTGGACCAATTCTAGTAGAAGTTATTGATGGATAACTGTTATTAAGACCATGAATTACAAAAAGAATCTAAAAATAACAAGTTGCTATTATATCATCAAAAGAGAGAAAATAAACAACTAAAAGATAGATATAGAATTGAAATTAGAATAGCTATTGCCAAATATAATTCAACTAGAAAGTCTTTAACCAACATAAAGCACAAAAAAAGTATTTACAAGAGTGAGGATGGCCTTACTCTTGTCTTTACATATACTATTTGCCAAAGAACTATAAAATAATGTCTTATAAGCCATATGACATATGTCCAACTTAGAAGATACATGTCCAATTTACAAGAATTTTTTTTACATGTGCCTGTCACGGACATACACATGTAAGCCAGTAATTATATGTATAAATAGGTAGAAGTAAATAAAAGTAGGTTAATTCTATAGTATTTGGTATGTTAGCTTTCTAGAAGCTTCATAGATGCTCATTTGACTTTATAGGTGCCTTTAATTGACTTTTTGGGACTAAAAATGTAGTCAACAAGTTGGCCATGTATCACATATGTTGTTAGCTTGAAGACCAAGCTAACTATGTGGCCCATACATAGAAAAACTTGCCTTGTAAGTCAAGGCATGTGTCCTACAAAGTCAACACATATTGGAGGTCCTATAGAACATAGCCACGTAGCCCCTAGTAAGATAATATATATAGAGACAAGAGTGAAGCCTTTTTCACTCTTGTCAACTCTTTTCTTGCTTCCAGTTTAGTTTCAAGGATCTCTAGTTTTCTTGGCTTTTGGCAATAGCCATTCTAGTTTCTTTCTTAATATATATATACATGAAGTTATTTCTATTTTATCATCGTTCTTTGAGAGAAGTCTCACTTGTTTATTTGTCTTTATCATGTTCTTGTCCTTGACAGATTGATAAGAGTACACTTACAATATCAGAGCTTTGTCTAATCTTAATTAAGAGTAGATTATCTCTTTTTCTTGATAAGAAATAAACATATTAGAAGTTGTGGATTACCGTGTTCTAAATTGATATTGTCCTTAGTATTTTCTTTGTTCTCAAGTCTTCTCTCCTATTTGTCTTGAGCAATATTAGACATCTTTTCTTTTCTAAGTTTTATCATAGCAGAACTTGCTAAAATGAAGAGTGCAATAGCACAAATGCAAGAGCAATTGAGGGAGTTAATGCTTGTGATGCATCAACTCAATTTACCACCACAAAGAGCAACAAGATTGGCAGGAAGTAAAGATATAGAAATGATTGGAACTGCTTCAACATCTATACCAAATCATGTTCCTCTTCCTATCGTGGAACACCCTTCTAGTGTTAGTGAACTAAGAATTATCCTACCCGAGAAGTTTGATGGCACTTGATCAAAATTTAGAGGATTTATCAATTAAGTACAACTTGTGATTGAACTTCAATCCCAAAGCTATCCAACTCCATGATCACAAGTTAGATTCATTGGTAAGCTTCTTTCAAGTTCAGCAATATCATAGTTTTCACCTTTTCTTGAATGACAAGATTCAATGTTGAAAAATCTAGAGGCTTTTTTGGCAGAGTTTCGATCCATGTACAGAGAACATGATGTAATTCGTGTTGCAACCAATAAGATTCATATTTTACGACAAAGTAATTGATTAGTAATGTTGTATGCTTCACAATTTTGACAACTTGTAACTGATATCAAATGGGATGATGCTGCACTTATTAGCCAATTTCTCTACAGATTATAATATGAGGTAAAAAAATTAATACTCAACTTACCTGATCCTCAAACATTGAGTCAAGCAATTGACTTTGTTGTGAAGTGCTACAATCACCTTTTTGAATTCCGATCTGAGAACCGTACAAGTGGATGTCAACATAACTATAATTCAATAGCAATATCAACATCTCTTCAACACATACATTCGGAAGTAGAGGATATGCAAATTGATATAATACATTTCAAACCTCTTGTTGAGCAAGACAAGACTGGTCGTCGGCAAAAAGGATTGTACTTATATTGTAGAGAACCTAAGCATATTGCTCATTGCCCAAAGAAGCGATGCAACCATAAAATGAGGAGTACGGCGATCAAAGAAGATAGCATGTAGAAAAATGAATTTGTCCAGCTACAATAGGGACCGTGCGGCTAGAACCTTGTACAATGCCTAGTGAAGGTCCTATCCTCTCCTCAGAACCCTCTC